CGCACGGCAGGCCCGGCCTCCTCGTCAAGCGAATCGACCACCCGCGCCCAACCGCTCGGTCCCCGACGACAACGCCTTCGAAGAGAGCATTGCCCGCTGCAACGACCCGAACGCTTCCGAAGAAGAACGCTGCCAGAAAGCTCTTGCGACACTTCCAACTGAGGTCGACGCAAAGAACTGCACGCGTATGTGGATTCCTGCTGCACGTTTGACAGCCGAACGCAACATAGACGAGTTGTGCGTGTCTCTGAAGGCAGACTATCAGCCAGAAATCTGGCGCAAGTACCTCCACCAGGGATGTGTCCGCGATTTTGTCCGTATTCCGCATCAAGGGATCGGCTTCGTCTGTACGTCTGAAGAGGCGCTCCGCTGTCTTGGTGGTGTCACACTAAAGGTGTGTGACACGCTTGTCACGATCCGGAAGTATTCTCTATTCGACAAGCTGTACTACGTGGATCTTCAACGTCTCCCGTCAACGTTCCGACGCGACATCTACAACTGGTTCGTCAGCCGCGGTGCCCGTCCCGGTTCTGATTACGGCCACGCACGACCCATGGGATGCTCAAGTCGCGCGCTCGCACCGTCTACTTCAACTCGGTGGCATGCCCACAAGGGCTATTTGAACCCAACGGCGAGCCGTTGCGAGAAGTCTTCTTCGATCCAGCTGACAAGCCCTGCTTTGTACAGCATCGGATGTTCAAGTACAACCGGGTTCGACCCCCGTCCCTACGCCCATCTCCGCGTCGACCCTCCGATGTCTCCGACGCTAGTATGCGCACTGATGACGCCTCAGCGTCGCCGCTCGCGGATGGCACCCTGGTTTCTTCGTCTGCTCCTGTGGGTCGCGTTTCCTTAACGCCATCTGGTCCTCGCGTGCCTTCGTCAGGATCCACGGCACCTGATTCTTCAACTGACTCTATGCTAGTTGATCATTCGTCTGGATCTGCGCCACTAGAACCTACGTCCGGACCCTCGCCGTCGGACAAGTCACGTGGATACGCGACAGTGCCCGTGTCTTCGAAGCCCATGCGACAAGCCTTTACGGGTACACGCTCGTCACGTTCCCGGGCCCCTACTGTGATACCGGGTACCATCCCAGCTGATGCACCGGATTGGAAGGTTGTACAGCACTCGCAGTATGGTATCCTGAACCGCACCGGCGCTAAGTTTATCGAACCCGGCACAGCCGTCCCCTGTGAGCTGTCGCAAGACGATACGGACCCCCTGGCGTTGAGCTACTCCACGCCGATTACTCCCAACTACTATGAAGTCCTGTTTGCGGATGGCTACGACCTGTCGCTACCCCCGGACGTGGACATCAGTATTGCCGAATCTGAGGATGATGGCGAGATATACGGCTTCGCGGCCGACTCGCCTCTCCATCCTACGGTCGAACTTCGCTCGTTGAAGGCTGTGCGACGAATGCCTATGAAGGCAGAACAAGTCACCGTCGCAGAACTTGATCGAATTATCTCAGAATTCGTCGAGAAGGATTTGCAGGCCTACACGTCGCATGAAGATGTGCTGGCTACGATTCACGCTCAACCTGCTTACTTGCGTCAGCTCTTCAAGATCCCACTCCCGCGCCTGCAGAAAATCGTGATGGACCATGCGGTCTATCGAACGGTATGTGCGGAGCCACTAAGTGAAAACGAGCCTGTCGATATCGTGTCCCGGCTGCGTGACCGGTACCGCGAATCATTGTTCACCTTTTTTCCCCTTCAAAAATTTTTGTGTT